GGGGAGCCGGGGGGAGCCTGGGGGATCCGGGCACCGGGCGAGCGCTGCAGGGACGGGGATCCGGCCGCGGGCCGGGGGCTGGCGGGGGCGGGAGAGGAGGGGATGTCCTCGGCGGAGGCTTTGACCCGCGGCTCCTTCAGCACCTGCACGTAGGTGGCGGGGAAGATGCCCTGGCGGCTGGTGCCCGAAATCCTCCCTTCGTACCAGTTCTCGTTCACCCGCCGCACCAGGCAGATGCGCTCGCCCTGCCGTGGGAGTAGAGGGCGGGTCAGCACCGAATGGCCCGGAATGGCCCGGAATGGCCCAGCACAGAGCTGCAGTACCTTGCGAAAGGAGAGCTCCACGTGCAGATCCCCTCGGAAGTTGTAGAGCGCCAGCGCCTCCCCGTATTCCAGAACCTGGAGCGTGGGAGCCTTGATGGGCTTGGGCACCTCCGTAGGGGGCAGGATCTGGGTGGGACACGCGGGTGAGGGGCAGCGCCAGGAACCCCCGGCCCCGCTGTCCCCTCACGCCCCGGGCTCACCTCCACGTAGTTGGAGGGGAAGATGCCCACGCGGCCGTGGTGCTCCCCCTCCAGCCAGTTCCTGTCCACCTCCTTATGGATGTAGACGATGTCCCCCTTCTGAAGCGTCAGCTCCCTGCAAGGGACACCGTCACAGCTGCCTGGGGCCACAGAGTCGTCCCCAGCCCACGTGCAGGGGCTCCCCCAGTCCCCATCCCTCGCCCGAGGGGCACGGCGGGACCCCAGGAGTGACCCCGGTGCTCACTTGGGAGACTCAGCTTGGAAGTTGAACTTGAGGCGAGCAGCTTTCATCTGGGGAGGAAGAGAGAGGTTACAGGGGATCTCCCCATCCCAGCCATCCCAAATCCCACTTGGGATGGGGCCATCCCAGCCTCACCTTCTTCTCCTCCCTCTTGACGGTGTCCACAGGGTCCCCCAGGTCCGACAAGCTGGGGAGTGTCCCTGGCCTGAGGGTGTCTGTAAAGAGCGGGGTGTCAGCAGCCGGGGTGCTTGGGGTGCCCCATGGCAGGAATTGGGGGGCTCAGGGGCGTTAAAGGGGGGGCTCACCTCTGCTGGGGGCTGCAAGGCTCCGGTCGCTGGCCAGCCCCAGCCCACCCCGCTCCATGCTGGGGGTGACAGGGGGGCTCCACAGCCGGTGGGGTGACAGGGGGCTCCTGTGGGATGACAGTGGCTCAGAGCAGTGCTGAGCCTCACGTCCAGCCCTGCTGCCATGAACCCTCCCTGCTCTGATCCTGCTGAGGGGGGGCAGGACTCAGGAGTTCGGGATCCTGTGAATTTCGTGGACCAGAACCCCTGGGTCTCATCAGGGACCCTCAGGATTCCTGTACCCCATGGAGCAAGACCCCTGGACCCTTTCGTTCCACAGGAATTCGGTGTCCTCCAGGACCAGGATCCCTGGATTCCACGAACCAGGATATTGGGGTCCCCCAGAACCAGGACCCTCGGGTCTGTTCTCTTCACCCCCCCAGGGTCTCATCCCAGAGGCAGCCAAGCGGGGCAGGTCCAAAGTTTTCCGGCAGCGCCGGCAGCACGGCCCCGCTGCCGCCGAGCAGGAAGCATGGAGCAGGCAAGCCCTGGGGAGGGCGGGCTGGATAATGAATAACCCCGCTCCGGGGGGCACTTAAAGAGCCCAAATGGGCCCCCCAAGCGGGAGGAAAGGTTGGGGATGGGGTGAGCCACCCCCCCTCTGCGCCCCTGGAGGTTACGGTGGGTCCTCCAAGAAGCGGCGCTTGTTTGTTTGTTTTCCTCCCTCTGCCGGGACGCAGAGGGGTCTGCGGGGTCACCCCGGGGTGCCCACCCCATCTTGGGGTTCCCACCCCATCCCGGGGGTGCTCCGGCAGCCGCCGGCACAGCTGTCCCCTCCCCGCGCCCGTGGGGACATGGGGACACAGCGGTGGGAATCCAAGCGCAGTCA